ACAGAAATCTTTATTTTGGGAAGTGTTTTGATTACAGAAATATCTATGTGTTAAACAACAATAGAACTTTCTTATATATCCTGTTGCTTAATAAAAAGTAAGTGCTTACTGAGTGCTTATTCTCAGGTACAAGATTTGTTTGTAAAATCTCTGTGATAAATATGTGAAGAAAAATCTACTTCCAGGAAGGTAATATGAATCAAATCAATGAATAGAATCATGCTATATGCCCTACAATTTTATGGGCTTAAATTTACATTTAAAATGTGAAAAGTAATATAAAATTGTGAATTGACAAATCACCCTAGATAAAGTTCCAAAAATGTCTGGAACAATTTTGAACTCCAGGCAAATTATAAATTTACATACCTCTGTTTCTAGGCATTTATCTTACCAGAGAGATAAGATTGGTTTGACTCTGCTATCCACATACTCCAGACAAATGGTGTTAGGAGATTAATACTCTTCCCCACGCTTAAATCCACTGCAAACTTGCTTCTCCTCACATAAAATTTTAACCCTGTCACTATCCTGATTTAAATTGCTCAATGTCTCTTCATCAGCAAAACGACACATATGAAAACTCTTTAAGGTGGTGTAAGAGGGCTTTCAAAAACTGGTTCCTGTCACCTGTCTAAAATAATATCTTGGCCAGCTATAACTCACATGTTGTGCTTCAGTCATACTCTACTGCTTGTAGTGCCACAACTTGCTGGACTTTTGGACTTCCATACCTTTGTACATGCTTTTATATATACTTGGCCTTGTTTGTCTTTCAGCAAATCAAATATCATATTGGTATCCTCTCCTACACAAAGTTTTTGTTGTACTTATCTATAAATGTAATTATAATAATCATGATTTTTATTAGTATTCACATTTTACTTTTTTTAATGAGCACCTACCATTGCTAACCACTATACTAGAAATGAGGGATAAAGTTATAAACAAAAATATTTATGTACTCTAATCTATGGACTCTTATAGGTGAGTGGGCAAGTCAGACAGTATGGAATAAATAATAATATTACAGAGGATAATATACGTGATTACAAACCAGGGATAAAAATCCAAGTTAGAGAGATGGAGAAAGTTTTCTCTTTGAAATGATGTTTAAGTTGAGACCTAAAGGTATGATAAGAACAACTCATATAGAGACTTGAACAAATGAATAAAAATCTCTTTTTTCTCAATGTATTCCCTTTCTTTGTGACAAATACTAAACTTTTCTAAATGTTTTACTTTATTAAAGATGAGAAATCATTATATCATTTTAACCTAAGAGTTTATGGTCTTGTAATACTTGTACTTCTACTGTGCACCACTATTGTACCTCCAGGACAGTAATTTTACCAGGTTAGTAATTTTACATAAATTCATGCTATATCAGGGTACTGCTCACCAGGGTCAAGTTTATACTCATTACTAAAAGAAACACTTCTTAGTGATTCTTTACCACTTAGCTCATAATGTGAGAAGAAGAAACTTTCATTTTAGCTTGCATAAGAGTCAAGCACTTGTGGTATCTACCTTATAAACATTAAGACCCTAAACATCACCCACCTGAAAGACAAATAAATCATGATCAGCCTTTTAGTCCTAAGCTTGGCAGAAAATTGTAATGGTCTTTGTGAAAGATGACTCTATTTTGTCTGTCTATTTAGAAGAAGATGGAGCCAGCATTGGTTTAAGTAGCTAAGTTGTAAACATTGGGGAGCTTGGATCAAATATTTTAACGTGATCAAACTTTGTTCCATATCTGCCATCCACTAAAACATTAACTCAGTGACAGCTTGTAATCTGTCAGTGAGGACCAAAACACAATGATAAATTGATATATTGAATTATCCACACATTTTCAAAAATGAGCAGGAAGATGTGTCCACTATGTATGAAAATTTTCACAGAGTGTATCAAGCAACTCCCTGGAATTGGATAAACAAACAACTTAAATATTCTAATTTTATATTTCTTACTTTCCTTTGCTTAGCAACAGCCTTTGCTGCATTGTATTCTTCATCTTTAAGTCACAGGGACAAATAATGTTTTATACCACCATTACTGTGTTCTTTCTTTGATAAGGGCACATATCTATTTTGCCTGCTGCAAACTTGAAAAAAGCTACAATTCCTTACTTCATGGCAAGACATAATTTATAAATCTAAGATGGAAAGAAAAATTAAAATTATCTTTTCAATTTCCTAAAGTAGCCAATCTACTTTTAGTTTTAGTTATAATCCAAATTCTTAATCACATTCCCCTAAAAGGACCTTTGGTAAAAAATAAAAAAAAATAAAAAATAACAAAGTGGACTCTAATGTAAACTTTGCTTGTGAAGCATCCTAACCCGTGTAGGAGACTACACTGGAGATTAACAGTAAGGAGGCTAAAGCACTGTGTCTGAGAGCTTTTGGATAAGAGAAAAGAAAGGTGTTGTGAGAAGATCCAAAAGGAAGTTGCTATTGCAGGTATCTGCAGGTTTTAGTAGTAGCAATGCAGTCAGTGGACACACCAGTTGTATGCCAATATTGTTTATTGTAAACTATGAGCACAGGATTACTACACTTTGTCTATTTATAGAACAATTTTCAGAAGGTGCTAAGTTCTGGGAGCCCAAAGGTTTGGGTAACATATCAAAATAAATGGTAATACACAGTTAAGTTGATGATAAAACTTTAATTTATATTTTATTACTTCCCACACCAAGAGTTCCCTGCAATAGCTAAGCAAGACACTCATGCCTACCCCACAGACAACAGCCCTGTATGTGGACAGATCCCAGTGTTTAATGACAAGGGGGCAGGGCATACTAATGATTTGCTCTGAAATTAGTCTTTTATTAGAAGCTAATGCCACATAGCTTTGACAGATTAATTTTTCTATGTATCAAAGCTTATATTGAGAGATGTTGCACAAAATAGGCAATAGAGCAAAGGTTTTAAGTTTAAGCAGTAGGAGTGTAATGATCCTGTAACCTTGGATCACTCATGTAGTTTTTGCCTGGGCCTTAGCTTCTACCTCTATGAATAGGAATAATAATAACTTAGACCCCTAGAATTAGGAATAATTAAATATGGCATAATATATGTAAAATTATAACATTTGTTTGCTTTATAAAATATTAAATCCTTTACCTTTATGCAACAAGCCAAGATCAGAAAATGAGATCCTCTGAAAATATTAGGCATACTCTCTGTGAAAGTCTTTGAATCAAATGAAGAGTAGTTTGTGAATGGAAACATTAAAATAATGGTTTTTACACATTAACTGTATGATAAATTTACTCAGTCACAGACTCCAAATAAAAGCCCTCTTGATCAGAAGAGAATATTGAGGGTAAATGTATCTTTAAAATTGGAGATGGAAAGAAAACAGCTTTAGGGAAGCAAGACCTTTGATTTTTCTTGTTGGAGGAAAAGTATAACTCAAGAGGGACTGAATTTTGGATATACTTAAAAAGGAAATGAACACACTGATGGTGGGACTGCAAACTAGTACAACCTCTGTGGAAAGCAATATGGAGATACCTCAAAGAGATACAAGTAGATCTACCATTTGATCCAGCAATCCCATTACTGGGCATCTACCCAAAAGAACAAAAGACATTCTATAAAAAAGACATCTGCACTCAAATGTTTACAGCAGCACAATTCACAATTGCAAAGATGTGGAAACAATTCAAGTGCCCATCAATACATGAGTGGATTAATAAAATATGCTATATGTATACCATGAAGTTCTAAATTCAGCCACAAAAAACAATGGTGATATAGTACCTGTTGTATTGCCCTGTATAGAGCTGGAACCCATTGTACTAAGTGAAGTATCCCAAGAATGGAAAAATAAGCACCACATGTACTCACCATCAAATTGGTATTAAACTGATCAACACTTAAGTGCACATATAGGAATAACATTCATCAGGTGTTGGGCAGATGAGGGGGTGAGGAGGGGGTGGGTATATACATGTACAGTGAGTGTGATGTGCACCATCTCCGGAATGGACACACTTGAAGCTCTCACTCAGGTGGGGCAAGGGCAATACGTAACCTAAAAATTTGTACTCCCATAATATGCTAAAAGAAAAAAAAATAAATAAAAAGGAAATGGAAAGAAAATAAGTTGTAAACAGTGAAAATTTTATTTTGCAACCTTTTTTTTCCTGCCTCTATTCTTCCAAAATTGAAAATGTTGCCTGAGTTAAGGCAAATCTAAACTGAATTTTCTTGACTAAACTTTCTAGACTGAATTATTCCAGAGTTTCCATAACCATGAAACAAACTATATCCTGCACCATATCCTGATTTAGTATTAGTTCAATACGTTTAATAAACTTTAAATTTTTAAGTATATTTAGTGTTTTAAAATGCATTTTTAGGCCAGGCACGGTGGCTCACGCCTATAATCCTAGCACCCTGGAAGGCTGAGGTGGGTGGTTTGCTCAAGATCGGGAGTTCAAGACCAGCCCGAGTAAGAGCAAGATCCTGTTTCTACTAAAGAAAGAAATAAATTAATTGGTCAACTAAATAATATATAGAGAAAAAATTAGCCAGCATGGTGGCACATGTCTGTAGTGCCAGCTACTTGGGAGGCTGAAGTAGAAGGATTGCTTGAACCCAGGAGTTTGAGGTTGCTGTGAGCTAGGCTGATGCCATGGCACTCTAGCCTGGGGAAACAGAGTGAGACTGTCTCAAAAAAAAAAAAAAAAAAAAAGAAAATGCATTTTGCCAATCTGCTAGAGTCTCAGAACTATTAATTGAAATACCAATAATCTTAAATGCAATCTTAAGGCAATTTGAAACTGTAGTAAATAATTGCTTTAGGCAAGCCCATTTGTGTTTAAGATGGAAAGTCTCACAAATTATAAGCAAGCACATAATTATAAGTCATTGACTTAATACCCAGACCATGGTGTCAGGATGGAGTTTGCCCTCAGTTCTTGGCAAGCTCTTGACCAAAGAATGACCAGACACACCAAAGTGTCAAGTTCAGAATATTACCTTAAAACAATCACCAGTAGGGCCAATGAGATGGAATAACCCCAGGCAGGAAACAGTGTCACAGGAGCAGCTCTTTATTGTAGAACAAAAATCTCTCCTCCAATGGAGAGAGACAGACCAACTCACTCTCTCTGAATTCTGGGATTGTTTCCTTTCATTGGCCTAGTCTGGCGGGCTCTTGAGAGGTGTGGAATATTACCAAATAATCAACAGGTGTCCTCAAAATTCCATCTGCGGATACAAGTTCTGTCTCTGAAAGCCCACAGGGGTCAGAGTGAACCACAATGCAAATTTAAACTAATGTCATAATAATTACCCTTAGGTTACTCTAGGTCACTTTCCAAAGCCTATCATGCCTGGGATGGGGAATTTGCAGATTGATAAAGCTCTCCCTCCTGCTCTAGTTGTACCATTTTCTCAGGATCAGATTAAGGGTGGGGCAACACCAAAAGAGTGCCCACGCTTATCCTTCTTCCCAGGTGGAGCAGTTGCTGGAGACAGCAACAAAGTAGGGCACCCTTGATCCTAGAAGAGCTGGAGATTCTAACTATCTACCTTACATTGGCACCTATGAAAAATTAGTTTTTTATAAAGATGTATGTCAGGCCCTCCTACCCTTGAGGGAGGTAAAAGTCCATGACTAACATCTGATTCTACTTTCTACAACAAGCCCCTTTGTTCAATTTCCTCCATGACCTTTGATTACTATTTATGAAATTTACAGGAGTTTTTTCCACCTCCTTTCTCTACCTTGGACACACATAAAGTAGCTATTAAAAACTATACCCTTCTTCAGAGATAGTGTTATGTTCTCAGCCTACTTATTCCTTAAAGAAAATTTGAGCCTCAAGAGTGTGTTAAGGCTAAATGAGTTTTTAGTATAGACTCATGATGTCTTTGTCACTTTCAAGGTTTTCTATTTTTGTTTGTTTGGTTTTTTTCTTCGTTCATTTGCTTTCTTTCTTGTCTTTTTACTTTATAATTCTCTCTGTCTTAATTATTAGAGGGATGCTTTAAGGCTGTCTGACATCTGTTGAATAGCTATGTCGTTAATATGATTTTTCCCCTGAGACTTCTTGACTCTGAGTTCCTGGGGTCTCAGTATCTCTCTGGTTGGTCATCTTTTAAGGGGCTGATGAAATGTCCTCATGGAAGGGTGACTAACTTCTTCCAAAATAAGCTATCCAAGAGCCAAAAACAGAAGGTGCTATTTCTTATATGGTCTTGCTTTGGAAGTCAACAGCATCCTTTCTGCTGTACTATAATAGCCACAACTGATAGCAGTATCAGCTGCCCCTGATTTGATGTGGGCGGGTACTGTTAAATTGAATACTAGGTGGTGAGGATTGTTGGGGACCATCACAAGGACTGAGTTTGATTCTGGAAGAGGCCATTCCAAGGCCACTACAGACATAGCCTCTTTGGCAAGGTTGTTCTGTTTTAGGAACATTGGCTAAGAATAGCTGAGCTGGAGTGGATTTGAATACCCACTGTGGGCAGGACTGTAGCATATGCAGGAACCTAATCCAGCATCTCTACCTCAGCAGAGAGGAGAGCTAGCTTTGGGGCATTGGAGGTATCAACGTGACTCAAGTGGCAAAAGCAAGATGTGCAGGGGTTTATCAAGGAACCCGGTATGTGGAGAAAAGAGAGGAAAAAGGGACAACTTACTGTCCACCTACAGGGAAGATGATTGTCTTGATAATCATTGTCAAGATTTGAAAATTTTATAGCTTGAAAATTTTATAGCTAAGACCAAGAGAATTCTACTTATATTTAGAGCCTTTCAATTAATTTTAGTCATGAGAAACCAGCCTTTTCTTTAAAGAATCTGATATTTAACATCATAGTAAAGTTATATATTCTCTTGACATTGTGCTTATTATAGGTACAATACTATAGTAAAACTTACGTTGGAATTGGTCCTATTTCTAAAATCATATGCATTCATACATGAGGTACTTGAGATGCTATGAATATTAATAACATAAGGGTCAATCATGATCATCAAATTATCTTCAGTCTGAGTATGATTTAAACTTTACAAGAAATGCCAATTGAGTGATGAATGTTATATCATTTTTTAATTCTTTATTTTAAAATCAGTCAAATTTCACTAAATGAAAGGCAAAGAGCCTTTCTTTGTGGCTCCAGTTAGAAGCAAACAGCCTGAAGCTACTTATTTGGGAAACAATGTATCTCTAACCCCAAATAAAACATGATAATGTGATATGATCTTGTTGCTGGTGTTTTTTTGTGCTTCTGAGTAAAAGAAAAGTATATGAGGTGTACTTTTTAAATTCCAAACTTAGGAAATTTCTGGGATACTTTAATGATTCGTGGAGAAATAGGACAGATATTAATAGAGGAGATATACTAGAGGATTTAAAATATATGACTAGTAAATCTAGAAAGAGTGTCATCACTAAGATATTAAAATCCATATAATTACTTTTATATTTGTTTCATATAGTTTTGAAGAAAAACTAACATGAAGTTTGAATGTCTTGAAAATATATGAAAAGTGTAGTTCTCAGACAATACAGAATAGTGCTTAAATTTCAACGTCACAAGCCATCTTTTGACAGTTACTTCTGCAGTAACTAGAGGGGAAACCTTTGTTTGGTCCCTGTGTGGACTCAGCAGAGAAAGTTGGACTCCATTGTGCACGATGTGAAGCCACTGCATGGTCATGAATAGAATAGAAAGAAAAGAATCCTAGATTCATGGATTTTATGTCACATCAAATTTTAAGCCTTAGGGGCTTACCTTTTTGAGATAAGTGAGAGACAGCAAGGTGTGAGACTGATGGTAGAAAAGACTAAGAAATTTACAACATTGTTTATTTAAATTGAACCCTGGAAATATCATCAAAATATATTTTATTGTAATGATACAGAAGGACATATTTGGTTTCATATTTATTGAGCTACAAGGCAGATGGGATATGCATTTTTATTCCCAGACTACACTTTTCAATTCTCTAAAGTAACTAACACATGCTATGACATACTGTGTCACCACTTTCCAAACACTAGTTTCTGCACATTCCCAAAAGTCACAAAAGATTTCTGAGTTTTAGTCAGAAAAGTCATTTTTTCATAATCACTATTTTTTTTTTACTTTCTTTTTTTTTTATTTTGGCATATTATGGAGGTACAGATTTTAAGGTTTCAATAAATGCCCATTTACCCCCTATAATCACTATTTATATCAATTCATAATATATATTATTAAAATAGAAGCTTTTTAGAGACTCCAAATGTTTATAATATAGAGATCAGATAAGAATGCTTATGATTTATTCCAATTAACTCTTGCTGCATTAAGAACCTATCTCAAAATAGTGGCTTAATAAAACATCATTTACTTTTGGTCCATGAATCTGAATTTTTGGCTGGATTCAGTGGGTACAGTTTTATCTGTGCTCCATGGTGCATAATGTAAGGTGGTCCAACTGGCTTAGAAGATCCAATTTCGAGGTGACTTGCTCACATGGCTGGCAAACTGGTGCTGGCTGTTGATTCCTTTACATTTAGGCCTCTGCCTGGGTTTGTTTCCTCATAGTATTGTAGGTAAGTTCCAACAGAGAATATCTAAGAATACAGGAAGAAGAAACTACTAGTTTCTTAAGGACTTTACTCTGAAAAAAAAAAAAAAAAGAACAGTTTTACCATGTTCTATTGGTCAAGTAATCACAGAACCTATATTCTAGGGGAAGTGCTATAGACTAACCTCATAGTGAGACCAGTGTCAAAGAATTTGGGACCACATTGTAAAGCTACCACATGGCTTCTTCATTTACTCACTAAGTTCATCGTAAGCATCAACTATGATAGTTTTTAAATATTACACAAATATTAACACTTTTTATTCTTAGGCAGTGTTTTAAAATTAATCTATTTTGGACTATTGATTAAACCTGGGAAGAAAAATAAAGTCTGTTTCTTGGATTCAACAAATAAGAAATTTAGTAATAATACTTCTGGAACTTTATATCAGGATGATTCCATTAGTTTCTTATTGCTGTTGAACAAATTGCCACAAACTTATGGGCTGCAAACAATCTTATAACTCTGGAGGGAAGAAAGCACAATTCACTATAGCAAGGATGTGGAAACAACCCAAGTGCCCGTCAATCCATGAGTGGATTAATAAAATATGGTATATGTATATAATGGAGCACTACTCAATTATAAAAATTGATGGTAATCTAGCACCTCTTGTATTTCTCTGGATAGAGCTTGAGCTCATCCTCTGAAGTGAGATATCACAGGAATGGAAGAATAGGCACCACATGTACTCGCCATCAAGCTGGCACTGACTGATCAACACTAAAATGCTCACACAGTAGTAATTTTCTTTGGGGGTAGGAGGGGGTGGGTAAACTTACAACTAATGGATGCGGTGAGCATTGTAGGGGTGGAAGTGCACGTCTCAAATCATGGTTGGGATGTGGCAAAGTTGCAACATGTAACCAACATTTTTGTACCCCATTGATTTCTTGAAAAAAAAAATCAGTCTCACTGGACTGAAATGCAGCACGGCTCCATTCATTTTTAAGATATGTAGGAGATAATCTGCTTCCATGTGTTTTCCAACTCCTAGAGGTTGCCTACATTCCTTGGCCCACACCCCTTCCTACTTCTTCAAGCCAGTAGTGTGGCAGCTTCTCCTCTGCTCCATTCTCTCCTTCTGACTCTGGTCCCTGCTGCTGTCCTCTCATCTCCTTTTCTGACCCTTCTGATTACATCGGGTCCACCTGCATAATTCCCTATGTCAGGGTCTTCAACTCAATCAAATCTGCAAAGTCCATTTTGCCATGTAAGTTAATATAGTCACAGCCTTAGGAAATGGACATCTTGTGGTGGTGGTGGTGGGCAATGGTACTGACCACCATAATGTTCCTGCCCAACAGCAGTCATTGAAGTAATAGGATAAAATTATTTTATCATATCAAACATTGATATTAACAGTAGAAAATAAAGTGATTATGTTTCATTTAGTCTTTAAAAATTCTTAAATACAGACTTGTAATTTTTTCTTGTTGAGAAGTGTTTATAAACAAAATACTGATGTGGGGAAACAAAAAACTCAACTTTGGGTTATCTCTTCAATTAG